GTTTCTTAATGAGTCTGTTCTGTAGCGGCATTCCCCGATAAAGGCTGATTTGCCTGGGCAAGAAGCGATCGACTGAAATGCCGAAGCGTCCTTAGCCGTTGAGAGATCCCATTCTTATCACCGGTATATTTCATATTTTCTATCATTCCTTATCTCGTGCCATCAAATGCTCTCATTCTTTCTGCTAAGTGCATCACCCATGTGCCTGTTGGTTGCGCGGCAGCGCTTCACCTTTCGATTGCGAATTCCTGTCGCATTTGGATGTGCTTTTAATCTATTAACTGGCTTATACGTGTGTATCGATAAGGTAGGTATTTTTATCCCCTCAAATGCAAGCCATTCAACCGACCGCCAAGAGTTGGAAATCCTGGTCAGCTTAAAGTTAGGCACAAAATCGTTTAGGGTTGACTCTGGACCATTTGCGTGTGGTGGGCCCTTTGTCACTTCCCACAATTCCGCACATAGCAGACAGACAATCGTGCTGATCACAAAATCGATCCTTTTTGCAATCGCCATTGTGTGAGTGCGGAAATATACCCCGATCAAGCCCAACGCAGATTTATTTGGTCAGCTTCTTCGCAGCATCTAACGTAAACAGAGAAGGGTACCCTCCCCTTCAAAAGCCAGAAAGTGTCGGGTGCAGACCATACACCACAAGTGACGACGGCCTCCAGAAAATGCAAATGTTTTTGCCAATGAAATGATTAACCTGTTACAGTTGTATTCGATCAGTTGACAGTAATTACAACTATCATTTACTAAAAATCAGCTATCACTATGAACCACTACTAACCAGATTTACTTGGAGGCCGTCGTCACTTGTGGTGTATGGTCTGCACCACACAATTTCTGGCTTGGAAGCGATGAGCGGTAGCTAGACGAGCAGCCGTTCAAATATCAGGCACTTTTTCTAGTTTCAGACTGATCTTTTTTTATCAAATACTGATATATCAGACATTCCAGGCAACTGTTTGAATGATGATGTGATCAGAGGACGAGTAAATTACCCTTACCGTATAGGAAAGTAAGCCCTCATATCAACCATGGGCGGAAGTGATGTATTGGCAAGTGGCGCAGCTTACCACACGCGTGGCCTGGGGATCAAATCCTGGGTCGTGCGCCGCCAGGCCAATTCAAGGCTTCATCCAGCTGATTAGCTTCTTATTGAAACTACTATTCTAAGCTGAAATAAGGAACGGTGCCTGTCACACAACTGGTATAATCAACGCTGAAGTTTTATCCCTAAATCCTTTTTATCAGCCTATGAATGATTTTACTTAAGCATGACGATTCAAAAAAGTAGGTATGCGTGTTTTCGAGAAGATCATATGAGCCGTCCGCCAATTTTGAGACCACTATTAAGGTAAGGGTCATCTTTTCCGCCACAGGACTTTTACAGCGCTGCTTCCAGACACTCCATACTTGACTTTCTGATAGAGCAAGCTTTTCTCTACAAAATGCTTCATACAGTGAATCATAGGCCGCCCAGTAAGGTCTAGAGAAGTGCAGAGCCATGCGTCGTGTTTGAATGAGGTCAGACATGCTCCGAAACACTGTTTCTTAGAGTGTTGTGCAAAGGCAGAGTCTCGTAGCCAGACATGCAACTAAAGGCATGGGTCAGGAACAAACCGGCATGTGATTTGTTTAAAAATTAAGACAAGAAAGTAGAAGAGGAGTTTCCGGGGGCGAGGAAAGAAGATCAAAAAGCAGCACAGAAAACAGAAAACTTACTTGTAAGCACGACAATGACGCGGCAGAGAGACACCGTGCCGCGAGGAGAGGGAAAACGCGGTTTAAAGCACATTCGTGGCCAAGAGCTCGGTTTATATTTTAGCCACTTCTTGTCACCTTTTCTCATTCCACATGTTATCAGTTCTCACCAATGAGGTCTTTCTCAGCTGTAACCAACCAACCTCGTGGTTCACACTTCGATCTCTGCGAACTCATTCAACTCACACAACTTCAAGTATTCGGGGAATGCTGTCGATCTCTGGTCGGGCAGAGTTCAACTGATTTTACGCGGTCATTCCCAAATGGGACGAGTGGTTTCTCCGCTCTCGCCGCGCCACAGCCAACGCTACCAGCGCCAGAAATTAAAACGTGGTGGCATGCTCATGATTTGTCCCAATTTCGCTATTCTCCCCGATTTCGTCGATCGATTACCGTTATCAGTCTTATCGACTGTCGCCCTGTTATGAACTGGCTATTGTCTACTGACTCTCTATCCTTGTTAATCTTATTCGGAAACACTTTTATCTTGTTCTTGCGTCTTTATGTACCCTTTACGGCTCGATTTCTCGCCTATGATCTATAAAACCAAGAAAAGCGTATAATGTAATCCTTTTTTGGGATGCGGCACGCATTCTACTTCCATTTGTACATTCGTAGTGGCGTTTGAATGCGATGTGGCCTATACAATGACTTGCGGGGGCCAGCCGATGTTCAAGTCAGTGTTTTTATCCTCCCAGACAAGTCTGGTACCAATTAACCGACCCCGGAGGGATGGAAGGCTTGGTTGGCCCGGGCGACTCACGACCCAGGATTTGATCCCGGACCGCTCGCGTGGTAAGCGTGCCACTTGTCACTACACCACTTCCGCCCTCTATTTCCCCTTCCCTGATATACCCTCTATTTCGGAAAACGAGAAGAGCGTCGAGTGCAGACCACACACCACAAGTTACGACGGCCAAGAAAAAAGAAAAGAAGCCACTTTCTCTTGGCCGTCGTCACTTGTGGTGTGTGGTCTGCACTCGACGTTCTTCCTGGTTTCCCGGGATAGATGGTATATATCCTTTTGCTACCAAGGAAAGATTGAACATCTGACGTTGATAACTTCCTTTGGGATGCGCTTCATGCTGCCTGAAGGAATTTCCCCCTGCAGAAATCGGAATTTCAGGGAGAAAGAAATCACTGGGGTGCGTAACCATTTCGCTTTCTGCGTGCGCAAACAAATCGGAGCTTCATTCCTTGGCAAAGGAATGGATTACTAAAGAAGATATGAGCTGTCGCAGCCACATGACCCCCCTCCGACCCCTTCCTGGATGAGACCCGTTTCCCCTTCACTTTTCCAGGAAAGGCGACCCTATTTCGTCGAATGCGACCCCTCGTCAAACTCTGTCAGACGGATGACTGCTTGGAATTGACACTACAAAAAGCAAGATAGGCAAGTGTTATCGAAGTGCATTTGTGTAATAAACACCACTTTCTCGTTATCAATGATGTCATAACAGTGGGTCCGGGATCCTATCAAGTGAGGGGCATATGGTGCAACATTTCGTGCTGCCTACAGTATTAAATTTTTGCAGGGTAACAAATCGGGGTGGGTGTAAAGCGAAGCGAATCGGTCATTCATAGCGGGATTCCCCCTCTGCAAAAAATGGCAATTGTCTGTTGTTGCACACAGTTATCGCGCCCATACTCCCCCCCCCCCCCACCCCAATGGGCGATCGACTTGTTCTCGGATATGGGTTAAAGAATGGTACAGGTCTAAATAGCTGGCTGATTTGGTTCTCTGTACATGATATATTTAGAGGGCACGAGTTTGTTTCGAAGCTGTTGCGGAAGTGAAAAACAAAAATTACCCAAAACAATGTTCTAATAATTTAGACACATGTGTCAAGAAGAACGTTCGTGGAGAAGAAAACGAAAAGCACTCTAGAAAGTGTTGAAATTTTTCTATGAGATTGACCATGGTAAAAACGGGGGAATAAACACCTCAGAGGGAGAGGGGCGACACGAAGAGCACATCATACGCGAGAGGGCGAGACACCACGTATGCGGCCACTCATAAAAATGGCAGCGGTTGCAGCGGTCAAACGAAAGCACTAGTCGCGTCGCATGTCGCGCACCCTAAAGTCACTACAGTACCCACAACCTGTGCGATTAGGGGCTCGCTGCTACCTCAGTTGAAAGTGAGAAATCTTTCTAGGATCCAATCGCGACCGCTTGCCTTTGACTTTCAGGAACACATCTGAAACTGAAGCTACAACACTACATCTAAAGTTTTGCATTTAATCTCGGTTATCCAAAATTGGAAGTGAATTCTATAA